ACGTCGGGACGTAGAATTATGTCCGGAAGTAGTTTGTCCTGCGCGGGGAAAGAATGTCCGGTAGTCGTGACCTGCCTGCGGTATAAGACATCATGAGCTTGCTGTCGTCGTCAGATCGCGAGAGAACACCATCACCTGCAGGGTAATATATCGCCATCCCGATCTATTTCAATCGGACCTTCTGATCCTTGCTTGAACATATCTCCGAACCTACAGCAACAACAACCACTAAGATGCCGTCACATATCCACTCTGTTACCAACATACACCGTATAGCCTGCATCCCTGGCGACGGCATCGGTGTCGACATAACAGAAGCCGCCGTCCAAGTTCTCAACGTCCTCTCAAAAACCATCGGCGGCTTCGAATTCGACTTCACAACCTTTGACTGGAGCAGCAAGAACTATCTCGAGCGAGGATGGTACATGCCACCGGACGGTCTCGAGCAACTGAAAGCCTATGATGCCATCTACTTCGGTGCCGTTGGCTGGCCCAATGTGCCTGACCACATATCCCTCTGGTCCCTCATCTTGCCAATCCGGAAGTCGCTGAACCAATACGTCAATGTCCGTCCTACACGCATCCTCCCTGGCACCACATCACCATTATCAAACTGCAAACCCGGGGATCTCGACTGGATGATCATCCGCGAGAACAGTGAGGGCGAATACTCCGGCCAAGGCGGCACATCTCACGAAGACAGCCCGCACACCATCGCCACTGAAGTCAGCATCTTCACACGCGTGGGCATCGAGCGCGTAATGCGATATGCATTCGAAACCGCGCGCTCACGACCACGCAAGAAGCTCACCATGGTGACTAAGAGCAATGCACAGCGCCACGGCATGGTCCTCTGGGACAAAGTCTTCTACGAAGTCGCAAAAGAGTACGAGGACGTGGAGATAGACAAGATGCTTGTGGATGCCATGACGGTGCGCATGACGCTGCATCCGTCCTCGCTCGACACTATTGTTGCGACAAATCTACACGCGGATATCTTGTCCGACCTTGCTGCTGCGCTGAGTGGCTCGATTGGTATTGCGCCGTCGTCGAATCTCGATCCTACAAGGAAGAACCCGAGTATGTTTGAGCCTATCCATGGGTCTGCGCCGGATATCGCGGGCAAGGGCATTGCGAATCCTGTAGGTGCTTTTTGGAGTGCGGCGGAGATGGTGAGGTGGGTTGGGGAGGAGAAGGCGGCTGATGGATTGATGAAGGCGATTGAGAATGTTACGGAGAGGGGAGTTAAGACGAAGGATCTTGGTGGGAGCGAGAACACCAAGGGTGTGACCGATGCGGTTTGTAAGGAGATTGAGACGCTTTTCAAGAGAGACTGAATGGGATAGATATACATGTACAAACCTACCACTACCGCAACAGTCTTCCCATCCTTATTGGGTATCAATTCATCCCATCCTCTCTCACGATCATCCATCCAAAAACACCGCAGGAACCTCACTCCTCCCCTCAACAACCCTACTCCTGTTCCCTCTCTCTCCTCTCACCCTCTCATCCCCCACCTCCCTCAGCCCCAACCAGTCCCTCCAAACCCTGACCGCTTTCCCCTGAATCAGCGCCTTGCTAATCGGCCCAAAATCATTGCTATCCAAACTCTTCCGCCAATTATCCCCTTCAATCCACACATGTCCATACGGCACAACAACCTTACCCACCTCATCCCCATCTCTACCCGCAACGCTATCCTCATCGTGATCAGGCAGTCCGTCTGGTACACCTTTCAACCTGTCCTTGAACGAAGCAGGATCAAGCGCGTAGCCCCGTGTAGGATATACGGTATCCCCTTCCACCGCGACTACGCGTTTTATCCCCATTTCCCCCGGTTTATGCGGTTTCCAGAACGTTACTACATCTCCTCGTTTTACGCCCCAGAATATAGCGCCATCCTTCCCATCCTCACCCTTCTCTCCTTTCACAGCCCGTTTCTTGCCATCACGCCGCTCCTGATACGGCCGCACAATGACATAATCTTCCCGACCCGTCTCGTGCGCATCGGGACTGAGCGTGGGTGCCATGGAGGAGCCACGCACATGCTGGACTTCAATGAAGTGGTCGCGGATCCAGAGGAGCGCGCAGATGGCTACGATGCCGTTTGTGCCCCATTTTAGGTAGCGGCCGCCTGTGCGAGCGCGTGCGGTTTCATGCCATCGGGGTGGTGGTGGTGGTGGGGGAGCGGTGCGAGATGGTGTTGCTGGGGTGGGCTTTGATGGATGCGGAGTGCGCGGGGCTGGATTTGCGGGTCGAACCGGTAGTGAGGGCTTCGCGAACGCTTTCGGTGCAGTAGGAGGTTTCGCAGGAAGCCGGATGGGAGGCTTGGGTGGCATTGGGAGATTGGGGTTGAGATGGGGTCTTGGTCAAGGTAACGCGATGTTGCTCGGCAATACTTGCCCGCGTTGCCGTTGGACGTTGGAGGTGCTGCTATTCTTCTGCAAGACTGCATCTACAGCACACATATAATGTCACTACGAGCTCAGGCGGCGCTGATATCAAGCAACATATTAAAATGACCGTTTCTAGTACTTCACGCACGTTCCGGCAATAATGAATCGATCATAACGTGCAAAGTTCAAGAGGTATATCTAGCTAGATGGCAGCTATGATACAAGGCCTAATACATATCCACAGTATGCAATCGCTACCATTCGGTCGTTCAATGCTCGTCAAATCCATAACCTAATCTACTTCAGGGCCTTGATGACGGCGTCGGCGTACTCGAAGGTCTTGGCCTTGCCACCAAGGTCACCGGTGATGGTCTGTAATACGATTAGCATGTATTCATATCCAAAGATGATGTCTGGTGCTTACCTTGCCCTCAGCAAGAACCTTGAAGATGGCCTGCTCAATGTTGGCGGCCTCTTGGGTGAGACCCATGTGTCGCAGCATCATGATGGAGCTGAGAAGAAGCGCGGTGGGGTTAGCGAGCTGCTTGCCAGCAATGTCGGGCGCGGAACCGTGGACAGCCTCGAAGATAGAGCAGTTGTCACCAATGTTGCCGGAAGGAGTAAGACCGAGACCACCGATGAGACCAGCGCACATGTCGGAGAGAATGTCTCCGTACAAGTTGGGCATGACGAGGACCTTGTCGTTGTAGGGAACAGGGTCGGTAACCATCTTCAGGCAGGTGTTGTCCAGCAACTCGGCGTCGAACTCAATGTCGGGGAACTCCTTGGAGATCTCGCGGGCGGTGCTGAGGAAGAGACCGTCGGACATCTTCATGATGGTGGCCTTGTGGACAGCGCGGACCTTCTTCCTGCCAATGTCGCGGGCGTGCTGGAAGGCGTATCGCAGAACGCGCTCAGAGGCCTCACGGGTGATGAGCTTGATGCTCTGGACAACGCCATCTACGACGATGTGCTCGATGCCAGAGTATTCTCCCTCGGTGTTCTCACGGATCAGGACAGTGTCGACGTCGTCGTAGGGCGTCTTGTAGCCGGCGATGGATCTGCAGGGACGGACGTTGGCGAAGAGGTTGAAGGTACGGCGGAGAGTAAGGTTGAGCGAGACGTGGCCCTTGCCGATGGGGGTCGCGAGGGGGCCCTTGAGGGCGACCAAGTTCTTCTTGACGCTGGCGATGGACTCGTCGGGGATGACCGTCTTGCCGTCCTCGTTCAGGCGCGGGGTGACGTCGACCGACTCCCACTTGATTGGGACGTTGGCGGCCGAGTAGATGTCCTTGACCGACTGCGCAATCTCGGGGCCGATACCATCACCCTCGATTAGAGTGACGGAGTACTTGCCGTCGCTGCCCTTCTTTCCGTGGAACTTGGCGACTTCGGAGGCGTATGTGCGGGCGGACATCTGTGTGTGTTAGTAGAGTTCCAGGCTATTTTTCTCTTCCTCTGCGCCCATCTTCTCTAGGCGCAAGAATGCTGTATCCCGCGGGAAGCTCACCTGGGACAGCGCGGGCGCCCATCGTGCGCGGGTAGCCTGGCGCATGCATTGCCGCGCAGGGGCGGCGAAGGAGCGAGCAGCCAACATGTTGAGGGTATTTCAATGTTGTCACGACCCAATTGGAGCTACACGGTGGTGGTAGCAGGTCGTCGAGGTGGGTGGTCGCGGCGGGAGGGTTGCGCAAAGCTCGGATACAGAAAAAGAAAGCTCCACCGGCCGCGGGATGTCTTCGTGCGCCAAACCGGTCCATTCCGCCTCCGTCATGGCATCCCACCCGCAATAGCCCTGCATTCTCATGCACCCTCGGTTAACGCTAAATAATGGACTGGCGATACACCTGGAAGCCTCACGACTGATATTCACTTGGAAAACGCGACATTACACTGCACCTTAATACCAACTTCACTCGGCGCAACGGAACGTCTCGAACCGAGTGCTTGTCACATGTCACGACAAAGCGACCCAATACATCACACATCGCGACATCCTACTTCACACTCATCATTCTCGTATACTCTCCACGACCTCACGTCTCTGGTTGGACTCGAGTTCACCATGGCGCGTTTTGGATCGCATTCTCACCCATCAGCTGGTGTCTTTAATCGTATGTTTCGTGTACAAGACCCACCGAAAGAAAGACACGGCCATTAAGAGCCGTTACCTATGGCACTTCTTCATCTCTGGTAGGATGCTCCTACATATCGTAGCTCAGACTGAGACTGCGTGTAACGCAGTCGCATCATTCGGCACCTGAGACCCTCTTGGACCACAAGCCACTTTGAACGCCAGTCCAGTCCATCGCTCTATGATGCAGCCTCTACCCATCGCGGCTAGCGTTAGCATCCTCTCAGAGAATGCGCGCATGACTTCAGATTCAGCTCACTTTGCTATATCGGTTTTTTATGTTGTGTCAACGCCATCCCCGGTCATATCCGTAGCAGCCTCAACCCAGAACTACGGATTGCTGTACAGAAAGGTTCCGACCGGGCGTACTCCTGAGGTATAAAGCTCAAAACATTCTATCCCAGTGATCACACTCACCGCACTATCCAGACACCCGTATATATTCACTCTCCATCTCTTTTGCAATCATGCGGGTCCAAGATTTTGTTTTCATCGCCGTATTCTTATGGCCTATTGTTGTCGGATCGGCTCACTTAGACCGAAGAACGACGCAGCTCTTCGACGTGAGTATTTTGTCGTTACCCAATGATTGGTGGTCAAGAACTGACAACGAATTCCTTCAACCCAGTTTGAGGACATTGAAATCCCCGTTACCGGTGTCGTCACTCCCATCACGATCTACAAAGGCGTTCAGTTCACCTCCATCTCCGCAGGAGCGCTGGGCGTCGCAAACATAACTTTCCTGGGTATCAGGCCAAAAACCCCACCGCAAGTCGCCTCAACAGCGTTCCGCAGCACGCTGCCCGACCTTAAACCCGCATCTGTGACGGTTGACTACCCAGATTCACCTTACAAGTCGATCGAATTAGTCTCTCTCTACCTCCATTGCGTAGCCGCACTAGGCACCGGTCTCTTCTCAGCGCTGGTCCAATGTAAGATCAACTTCGAGTGTTTCGGCTCAGATGGCAAGCTCAAAGCCGAAAAGGAGGTCGAGTATAAACCGGACACGCCGCTCCTTATCCCTGTTGAGGAGCAGAAGAAAGTCAACTTTGAATCCAAATTTGTGGGTTGCAAGGATATCAAGTTCGCATTGGTGAGCAGTCAGCTTCCTCTAGGAAGTGTTTTAACGGCGATCGCGACGGATAGTTGGACTGTGGTTTTGCATCCACGCGATGCTGAGTCTTGATCACCTGTAGCAGAGTTGAATTTTCTATTGACCTTTCATCCGTGGATCTGTTCAAAAGAAGAAGCACCATCTGCCACACAGAGCTACCTTGCATTCAACAGACGGTGCTTACGCACCAGAATCACACTCGCTGGTACCAGAAGACTATCAAGTTGACTTTCATACGATTGACTTTCCTGAATCTACTTCTCATCTCTATATGTTCATCTTATCTAGCCCTTCTTAGCGGCAGCGCGGCGCGCTCCGGCTGCCGAACCCTCTCATGCATTTCATATTCACTTGCTAAGCTTTTCTGCTCATCTTTCTCCTCGCGCTTTCTACGAGCCAAACGAGCGACCCCAGATGATAACGCGTACAGCCAGAGCATCATTATGACCATAATCGCAGCGGAAATGGCACCGAAGATGAAGAAGCCCAGCCAGATACGGTATTCGGCGCTTGAAGTGTTTGGTGGGTGTAGTGGCCTGGGATAGGCGGAGATGGTGTTGTTTTGTAGTGGCGAAGCATCGGTCGTGTTAGTAGCCGCGAGGGCGAGGCCGCTGGAGTAAGCAACGGTGTATGGAGACGCCATGTCTGAAGTTGATCTGCGCTTAGGTATGAGAAGGTTGCCACTATGTTCGTGTGCTGATACTTGGAGTAGGAGAGGAACAGACTCTAGACTCTACTTCGTCGGGCATTGTGCGCCAGATCGCTGAACCTTCACGATCTCATGAATCCAAAAGCTTACAGTGTGTTGGAGTATACCTTTTAGAATGTCACCGTTGATGTGACTAGCGCTCAGCGTTATCGAATCCGACACTGTGAGCTCACAGGCCTAATGTTCAGTAGTAGTCACCATATGGTGCGGCATTTGTACGGTCACCGCGATCAGAGCTACTGCTTACAATTGGTCTTCCGCAATCTTCCCAGGTCCTCGTTCATCCTAACTACGACCAGACGTAACAGGACGAAATCACCAACACTACTTGTTCAACATCCAACATGTCACAAAACAATACTATGGCGGCTTTTACTTGGCCTAATGCCGCGCAAGTAACTGCTTCTTCAGGTACGATGACTTCGTCTTCTGTTACCACTTCGACTGCAGTCGATCCTGGTGTATTCTACTCATCGGATGTTGCTGCAACGACGTCTACTGCTTCAGACGGAGGAGCGTTCTTTTCTTCAGACGTCTCAACGACTGCTGTTGCCTCCGCTACAAGCACTTCAACAGCAGTAGATCCTGGTACCTTTTACTTGTCGGCTGTCCCTACGTCTACTTCCACTGCATCCGATGGAGGCACATTCTTCTCTTCGGACGTTCCCGTTTCTAGCATCGGCTGCCACCATTGCACAGCTTGTACGAAGACGACCTCAACCGCCAGTGCTCACGCAAGTGCGTCTCCTTTCCTAAGGGCAGTCTCGAACAATCCTTGGAATCCAAACGTAGCACCGCCAATTGATGCGTCACCATCGTACGTCGATTACGGCACCGTGTCCACCCTGATGCCTCAAGCTACCGGAGTCGCTTTCGATCGCGGCACACCTTTTGAAATGACTGATCCCATACTGCCAATAACAGATGCATCGTCTGATCCTCATTCAACCTTCGCCAAGCGAGACGGTCCCCGCTTCGCGAAAAACCCAGGCCACATCATCGGTGTCATCATACTGGCCCTCGGTGTTGTCCTCGTATGCTTCCTAGCAATCAAGTACTGTAGGGGTCTAATTCCCACGACCCACGATCCAGAAAAAGGCAATAGCCGCCCTCGTTATCCACATTATGAAAAAGAGGTCGTCCGTGGACGACGACGCCGCCGTGACGGCTCACCTTCCACCACCCATTATGCTGACATACCAATTTCGGAGGGATACGGTATGGATCCGGTCGACCTTGCTCGCGCCCAGAATTGGCAAGACGGCTTCGACGAAAAAGGTGCTTATGCGACGCGAGATCACGTAGATCGAGGAATATCCGCTGATAACTTCCAGTCAGTCGCGACGCATGGAACTGGCGATAATGCTGGATATCGACCGCAATTACCCAGCTTTATACCTACGCGCAGCTCGAATCCAAAGTCCCGTCCTGTGATCGATCTGCCGACGCTCGCCCGTAATCCGGAGTACCCAGCCGGTCAGCCAGTCTCGCCGTTGAGTGCAAACGGCCCACCCTACGATTATAACCGCACGCGAGATTACAGCGACGTATCACCGCTATATTCGCCCACAATGCATCGCGAGAATCGCAGGTAGTCAGTCCGGTCGGATGGCGACAATGTGGTGTGGTTGCTGAAGATCAAACAGGTACAGCTGTCAGACGCGTTTCCAGCTAGTGGAGTTTAGAGTTTCGCATAGGTATCCTGCAATTTTGCTTTTTTAATTCCGAGACTCGTTACTTGATACAGTGAGATTGGTTCTGCGCCGGCAACATCGTTGGTTTTCGGGGTTATTTTGGGGTGGGTTTCACTTCTTTCATTTGCTGGGGGCTGTGCTTGGTGTGGTTTAACTATCGTGAAGGTAACCGTCCCCACTTGCCATTCTTACCTGCGCATTCGTTCTTTACCTACACACTCATTCTACAACCACACACTCACTCGTTCGATCGCAACTGTCCAACTCGCATAATACATACACAGATTTCATCTTGTCACATCGCACAACATGCCTGTACTCAAGTTCTCACACCGCGCTGAGCCTATCAACGCCGAACAGCGCATGATCGGCCCCATTCCTTTGCCATGGTTCATTCCCATGTGTGTCTTTGCGCCGTTCTTCCTCTCGTTCATATGCTGGGTATTCTATCAACAAACGGTGACGCGGTACAAGAACAAGAAGCTATTGGCAGCGCAACAAGAGCAACAGCGCTTAGCTGCTAAAGAGGTGGAGACGCAGATGCAGCAGTTCATTGGGTCGAGCGTAAACAACGCGAACATGCGCGCGCCACCAAGGGCACTGAGACATCCTGCTTACAGATGATTGTGATCTGGAAGAATTCAACACGAGTATCATGGAGATGGTCGCAGGATGACAGGCATGATCATGTGCCGTCCATTCGTTTCGGCTCGGAGAGACCAGCAGTAAGTAGTCCACAGTACTATCACAATTCGCAACATTGTCAACTTACGACATTCTACCAGAACACTCTAGACAGCTATTGTGAAAGCATCATGTCTCACGATCATTCACACCACATCCTTACTCGTTCTACAAAAGACCTTCCATACCTCGTCACAAGCTTCCATCACCAAGCTCCATCTACATCATCGCATCTCACGATAGCCTCTAAGCCGGACTTCCAACTCACATCTCAAATTCAGCAACACAACACAACACCATGGCCCCATTAAACGTTCCTAGCGCTCTCGCGCCACTAGCCACCTCCACGTACTCACCCCCCGCTATGCCGCTTGTCACGCAACTCTCCGCACTGGCCACTATTGTCACCCCGACGACTCCCTACACACCCATGACCTCTCCATCCTCCATTTCGGATATCCTCCACCAGATCTCCAAAGCAGATGTCGCTGCCGAGCCTACTTCCACTTTTGACCTCAAAGTCAAGTCCAGCAGCTCTGGAGCTGAAGGCGGTCTGTCGACTATAGCTGTAGTCGGCATTATCGGTGGTATTCTTGTGGGCATGCTTATTTTGGGGTTTGTTGTTGTGAAAATGTGCCATCATTAAGTGCGGATGATGGTGGGTTAGTTGTTTCACATAGGGAAGAACAAGGATATGAAGGTTGATGTGATGGGTGTCTTCTTGGATGTTAGATGATGGGATAGGTCTATCTAATTAGATGTTTGAAGATAAGAAGACGTTTTCATGCCTTTGCCATTCCCTGCTCTCGTGCTGTTTTTGTGTTAAGTGTGTCGCGTTTGTGAAGACTAAGAATTGTGTAGTGTCTCTCCTGGCGGCACGCAGAATGAGCGTACCTCACGCTTGCTGCCCATGTACCTCAGCGGCTACCTTCTACGCCGCTGTCTCCTAGGCGTTTCTTCAGCTGCGCTCCAACCTTCCATTTCGATATCCAGATCGTCTAACTCGGCCGCTAAATCTTGTCGCGGCTTCTTCGCCTTTCTGACTGGCTGATCGCCGGGAGTGTCGGAGTCAGATAGGAAGCTGTCTCTTCGTCGCTTTGTGTTGCAACTAACGGAACGAAGAGATCGCTCTTTTTGGTGATATTTCTGGCTAGATGAAGGAGACGACGTTGAAGATGCTAAGCAAGGTCAGAAGATGAGCGTGAATGGGAAGCATAGTAACTTACTGCTATCCTCGTCATCCGAGTCGACGATGAAGCGTCGCTTTCGTTGTGAGATTGGTGATCTGGAACTACTCGTAGATATCGGGGTCTTGCGCTCGAACGTGCTGCCACTCGGGAGACCACGTTCTTTTGCCAGTGCGTTCCTATATGCATTCGTCAGATACTGTGTCTAGTCATTCCTACGCGTTAGACTTACTGCACAGCGAATTCCACCATCTCGTATTCTACCTCCGGGCTGAGCTCTCCATCAGCCAGATCTACGATCGCAGGTATACGAATCCCTCCCGCTTTGAGATTGATAAGATCGAGTTGGGCTGCTGCGACCCGGAAAGCGGCATTGGATGGGCGGCACCGTTGCTTTGGAAGACGTTTTGGTTTCGTGAACGAGAATTGGGGGCAGTCGACTGCCATGACGGGAACTTGAAGTGAGAAGAATGATAGGGTAGAAGATGGAGATATGGTGGATGGGAAGGATGGTGTACTGTCAATCTCACTTCGAAGACCGAGGTGACTGAGAGCGCGCTGCAACAGGTGAGATAACATGGCGTCTATCTGAGTTGTTTGCGCTGAAGCTAATTTCGCTGTTTGTTGTCTTACCTGTGAGACTTCAATGTCTCAGCGCCCGTTTGAAAGGTGACAGTAAGAGCGAGCAGGCATTGAATGGAGCAATCGCAGCACAAGGCGCTCATGCCACAAAGTACGATTGAATATCACGTAGCTACCAGATGGCTGCAAGGCTCTAGAATTTGTACGACGCTGCGCGGGAGTGTGCATGCATTGACTAGATACTACAGCAACCTGAAATCAACCTGTCATTTCTTCCACATATACCAAACGCCCGATATTGACACCACTCGATCTACACGTCGCTAAATACAATCCAACCACTCTTCACATCTTTCAAGCTCTAGTCCTTTTCCTCAACAGTCTAGCGCTGTATACAAAGCGCGGCTGCATGTCTATATCCAGATCTAATGGATCCTCGCCATCCAACATCCCAACGTCGCTGTCTGCACGTCTACTGCGTACCTCAACACCAAGAAACTCATCGGAGCCATTAGAGATATCAGAATTGAGATCGTAATGGACAGTATTATCGGGAACGACGAACTCGCGGTCGCTGCTCGTCTCTCTGGCGTGCGTAGGGTTCATTGAAGACGACTTCATTCGTTTGGCGCTCGTGTTTGAACAGTGTTTCGCACCTGACTTCGTGCTTTTGAAAGCCTTTGCATGATGGTGTAGACTCTTTGACTTTGTAGCTTTGTTCTTCGGCTTGGACTGTGGTCTCGATGCGATTGTAGCGGCTGACTCCGGCTGCGGTTCATCGTCATCCCACTCAAAAGCGGGATCATTTGGGTCTATCTTGACCATGACTTCCCCGCCATCTGCATCCAAGCCTGGTTGATACTGTGCATGTGGGGCTTCACTCATCCTGATGGCTTGTCTCTTGGCCAACGGTAGATCGCCTTCGCTGTCCCTGATGAGGTGATAGAGGTCCACAATGGGTAGCGCGGGTGCTACAGCCATTAGCTGAGCGACTTTACTTCTCAGACCGAAGTCGTCGATATCCATAAGACTCATGTTGATAGTCCCAGGCTTGCTCTCTTTCCGGCATCCATTGAGCGCGTGATTTTGGCTTGTGCCTCGTGTGGCAGGCTTACGGATCGGTGACGCCTCTTCATCGCCATCAGAATCTCGTTGTAGTGTTTCTTGGGGTACAGCATGCGATCGATCCTTTGCGGGCCCGCTAGATTTTGGTGAGGAGCGTCTTAAGACGAAGCCTATGGGTGCATGCGACGTATTCGGTAATGCGCTCGGGCTCTCGCTCGTGCCATCGTAGCGGAAACCTCGTAGGTTGGGCTCGGCGAGTGAGACATGCGTTCGACGAGGGTCAAGACTACCGATATTAGTGTTGAACAGGCGTGTTGTGAGAGCTATTTGTCTTGACTTACCGCTGGGGAGTGTTTGTCGGCGCGTCATCATCGCTATCGAGCGTGATTGGCAAGTCCTGGGATGCGCCCACTCGGAAACTGGGACTAAACTTGGAGCCAGCTTTGGGGAGCTTGCGCACCGAAATTTGAGGTTTTCGCTTCGCCCGACCGCGTTTTTCTTTGCCTGTTGCCGGGCCCATATTGATTTTCTTAATATTGCGCTGGAACCCCATATTATCCTCCTTCTGACTAGAATATTCAGGCTTGCGCTGTCGAATGGTTTGATGGGGGTTGGGTGTACGACCGAGGGAGGGTAGAGACTGGTGCGGATCAAACGGATTGAGCCTCGAAATTTCTAGCAGCGTTGCAGTGCGGTATTGCGGCAGTCCACATCGCACCGACGTATCTTTCCTCCCTCTCAATATGTCTTGATACTGGCTGCTAAGGCCATAAGGCAACAATATCGGAAAATAGGTATCCATGGCAACGGAAAGAGAGCGCAAGGACGAAACGAGTGCCCAGGAGGTGGAGGGGAGGATCAGCAAGCGGTGTGGCGCCGTGGGCAGGTCGGTCAAACGGGCGGTATTCAGTCGCGAAAGAGTGAGAGGGCAGAGGCAGGTGCCATCGCGTGCTGAGCGCTGAGACAATTCTCGTTGCTGGGGTAGGCTCTGGACGAGGAAGGCACGACCTGATCAGCAGCCACATCGCCAAACGTAAAACACTGTATCTTGTCACTATCCGGAACTTGTTATACGAAAATTCCGGAGAGCAGTCACATGAAAGATCGCTCGTCAGCCCGGATTTGAGAAGACTATAATGACTCTGGGGGAATTACTCTGTAGAATTTGCAGAGCGCGCAGCAACTATGGCAACAATTAGGAAGAAGCCAGAGAAAGAACAAATTAATTCGAGATACAGGAAACAATGTGCTAAAGACCCGGGTGGGACGTTTTGGTAGGTTCAATCCAGGGACCTGCCGGACGAGACGCCATGGTTTCCGCACTGAATATCACCATTCTCGTAGCCCTAGGATGCAAAGGCATGGGCTGTTTCTCGCCTTGAGAAAACAATGGCGGCAAAGACTGGATCGTAGCCTCGATTTCTGCATGCGCTGACAGAAAGATCTTGGTGTGCCAGTGGTACTGAAAACCACCTGACCACAATATATCGTCTTTCCAAGATCGAATTGCAGAGACAAGACGGTGACTAGCCTTGCCGAAGGATGAGGATTCATTCTTTCCACGGTTTGCGCCATCGTCTTCCACAATGTAAAACTCTGGGCTTCTCCATGCCACCAGCGGAGGATTTCTTGCCCACTGAAAACCATCAAACGGCCCTCTCAGATAGTGTACCTTCTCGCTAGGCATATTTAGCCACATCAAGCGCGATTCTCCGCATTTGCAGGAAGTCTCCGGTATCTCGTAGGGTTGTGGCTTCCCGCGTAGATAATCGTAAGCGCGTGCGTAATGAACCGTTACGCCATCTTCACTTTCTTCAACTGCATACTCGAAAACGTGAAAATTCTCTGCGTCAAAGATACCCACGTAAACACACATCATGGATCGGGAAACGTTTGAGCCGGCACAATGATGCGTGTGCTCTTTGTTTTGTGGAACTTCCACCTCAGCTTCGGCCCACACTGGCCTAGCTACGACCCCCGAGTGAGGGCGCCTAATGAGTAGCCGGAGATCTTGGACTTTGCCATGTTCTTTCACCGTAGGTTGCGGCACTATGCAGTCCTGTTTGCAAGACGTTCGTTTGATTTCCAATGCCTGTATCAGACTTGCGCCGAATCGCATGATCTTGTCGAGGGGTTCCGCGTCCATGAACGATTCTAGGATTGTTTGAAAAAGCTTCGTGGGCTCAATCTCATAGTCAACTTCGATGTGAGGCTGCTGGTGTGCCAAAGACAAAAGTGCGAACACCCGATCGCGTTTGTCGCGACATCCACCACGGTAAAAGTAAGTGAGCAAGGACGGAAGCGATGCGCGAGTATCCCCAGGATGATGATTATGCGGGCCCAACCAGAGTAAATACTTGACGCACATGGGAACGGCTTCATGCAAGCCGGGTCGTTTCTCTTTCTCGGCCTTCCGCCAATTCCAATCAAAGGTATCCGTCATGGTCAACAGCTGGTCGCGAAGGTAGAACATATCGAAAAATCGTCTGCCCGAAAATATAATGAGACTACTCTCACTAGACCGCGAGAGTATTTCCTGTGCAATCCAAACTCGATTCCAATATGGAAGTTTCAGGAATAGATTCACACGTTCCTGCAACTCTGCCTTGCGTGAAGCTTCCATGACCCCAATCTGCTGTTTCACTTGCGCAGAGATAACATCGTGTGACTTGTGTGGCCAGGAAGGGCTTCTTGAGCACAAATCTTCTGTGTTGGCGAGATCCTCGAAAAGCTGGACCAATCCTCCATTCAAGATGCCAGGCCAGATAATCACCTCTACGGCTGCGTTGTAGATAGCTCCCATCTGGCGGACCTGATGATTCTTCTCAAGGGCATCATGCTGGTTGATGCTAATGGCATCTATCCATAGTGACTCGCCAAGTTTAGAAGGTTCGTCGAGGGACCGAGAGGCAACAGACGAGCGAAATGCGAGTAAGAACTGATAAAGATTGTTTCCGACCGGTATAGAGCACCCGTTCACTTCGATCATATGCTCCGGGTTCGAAGGGTCCCACGTGTAAGAAAGGCATGTGTAGGTAGCTTCGATGATTGTAGTGTTTCGCATGGTGCAACGGAGAACGCTTTGTTCGGGACCAGGGAGAACATCAATGACGCGTATCGAGTTCCCAGTGAGATCGAGCGGCTGATATACCATTCGGTCTGAGCTTTCCCGTGGGAACTGTTTTTCACTGGTCTTGTGTGGGTCGTCGACAATGATCATGTCCGCCGTGGCGCGCTGCCCAGAATCTTTCTGTATAGGCATGATGGGAGCCGATGCTCAAAGAAGTACTCCAGATCACCAAAATTGACAGACATAAGCGTGTTCGAGGGCAGCGTTGTCTCTAGTGAAGGCAACGTGACTTAGGCTCACAAAATCTAGTAAGGCTGAGATTGAAGCGGGGTACTCACCGGAGTCCCTCAGCCACTTTACGAGGGTCGCCCAATCAAGCATACCTTAGGTTCAAACAGTGCGATGCATGTCCAACAGACGATCACTGAGACTGACCGATCTTTGTCGGCACGTCTGTAATCGCAGACTAGCCCATTTGCGTCGCAGTTGGTAGTGATCCAACCCCCCTCTGATGAATATCGGCGCAATCTGGGTCTTGCCATTAAGAGCTCGATAATGCAAACGGTAGAGCGCTGGCATCACACCCGTCGACTCTAGCAAGATCCGCATCAAACGATTCTGTGCATGCATCTCCTACGCATCGCGATCAGATGTAAAATGTCCAACACCTGCAACAGAGAAAAAACACCAATACGTCGGATGAAGTTCCTGAAGTTATTCTCTGCTTTCTCATCAGCAAATGGGGAGATCACAAGCATGAGCAGGTGACAACGTACCCAGGTACAATTCATGCGGCACTGTTCTTCTTCGTTTTCTGTTGTTGATTTGCCTGCGCAGGTGTCGAAGAGGCAGTGGATGCTGGCTGATGCGACTGGGTTGGTGTGGGATATGTGAATCTTCCTTCGTTGCAGTCCTCATAAACATGGCAACAAGTGTTTCTCCAATGGTTACAGCAGGAACCGCAACCTCGATCAACTTCGTAACTGTTATCTGCACCGCAGCAGCAGCATTGCCATCGATAAACCGGAGCAGCAGCTGTCATCGTCAAGCTTGATGGAGTTGAGGGTTAGATGAGGGAGGAGGATGAGACGCCACGGAATCGATTGTGTTACCCAGCCGGAAATCCGGTGAGCAGCCCCGCCACCCCACCAGCACGGCCGTACGCCCCTGAGATAATAGGCCGCGCATCCGCATCTCAGTATGTTGTCAGTCGCCACCTCAAGCTACATGTCCAACGCTGGTAAACTTCATGTGTTATACCGTTCTGCACAAACTTCCTCTCTGGAACCATGTCCATGAACGTACAGCATACAATTTAAAGGTTGAATGACAATGCATCGCGCTTTCCAGACAGCTGTACCAGCGAGAATGCATTCAGTCAGAAAGGCAATATTTGGGTAGATGGTGGAATACTCAACAGTCTTTTGGGGCATGACACCATATGTGGCATCAAGGTAAGCACATCGAGAAAGTTGAAGTGCCTGGCACTGCCCAGGTGGTGACGGATTGAATTCAAGAGCAATGACTAGGCGGGGCTGGTGCTGAGTCAGCAAGCGCCGGCCTCGGCTTAAGCCTGGAGCTCACGTGGAGCTGTTGCGCGACCCTAGAGCCGCACCCGCTGATGTTCACAGCAGCATTCTCTCTATTAGCGCCTGGCACATCAGTTATGCTCCCATCTCGCGCTCGATACCTGCATTATCCTAAACTGTACGTACACCCTCGGAATCGACAATCGTGAATCAGCGACGCCGTGTAATCAGGCTGCAATCACCGCGGAGACGATACCAGCAATCACCATGCTGCAGTCATGCAACGCCCTATATCATGCAGATGCGCATGTCCAGTAGTATCACGAGCAGAGCGGAATCACCCGGACCGGTCAATACACATGTGTCGGGATGAGAAGATGGCTCTCATCAGCCAATCGAAGACACAAGGTGTGATCGGGCACGGCTGAGGTTTGGGGGCCGGTACGGAATTCCTATTCTTAGGATATGTGCGGTCGTGACAGCTGTGAAAAGGCCTCTGCGACGATAAAACTGGCGCATTCCCTGTTCGGCCCCTTCCTCAGCACTTCCTCAGCACTTCCTCAGCACTTAGCGTCAACATTCTGAGACTTCCGAAGGATTTTGTGTATACTACAACATGAAATTCGGGCACAAGAAAGACGAGCCGGCCCCTCCAGATCCGGTCTTCGATGAAGATGAAGATCTCAGCGAAGTTTGGCCACAAGTTGTGCGACAGTATGAGGACACTACCAAGAGGAAGCTGGATGCAAACACGACCTTCAACAGCTTCCAGCTACAGATTGACGCCGATATAAAAGAGTCTTCGACGAAAAGCCATCAAAACGCCAGAATCGTTTTGAACAATATTGGGAACTGTCTTGAACAGTTTGGTTGCATGGTCGCACAAGTGGCGGGTGTGGTCTTCGGGCCCGCTGCGCAATGCTGGAACGCTATCAGTTTCGTCGTTCAAGCAGCTCGGAGCATTAGCGGTATGATGGACGGGTTCGTCATTCTGATGGAACGCTCATCGGCTTTTATTCGTCGCCTGGTGAATTTCATGGAGCAGAAGGTCGGCGAAGGCGGGTCCCACCTACCACGTGTTCTGCGAAGGCCAGCATACAACATCCTCTCTCAGTTCTTGGGCGTACTTCGTTGTTCGTACAAGCTAGCTACGAGTAAGAAAGAACGGTGGAACAAATGGGCTGGAATCGTTCTTTTCAACTCCGATGATATGGCAGAATCGCTGGAACTGATGGAGGATCAAATTCAGGAGTTTACCAGAGCCGAGGTCGATGACATACTGTTGGATGTCAAAGGGCTTGCAAGGCACCTTGTCGCATCGGATGAGGAGAGAGCTCGCTATCATGTTGAGATAAACGACCATTTTTAGACGGTATACAAAGTCAGCGATCAGATCCTAAGCGTTACTCAGCAGATGAAGATGACCTTGGATGGTCGAGCTAGCAAAGATTAACAGGAAAAGAACTTGGAAAAGATCGCAAAACATCTGGGTTTGAAGAAGTCGGAAGACTGGGAGACTTGGAGTAAGCGACACAACGAGCTCTGCAAGACGCATGTGCAGGGGACGGGAGACTGGCTTAGTCAAGACGAGTCCGCATTCGTGCAGTGGTCTGATCTGAATCGGCATGACAGAAAAGTTCTCTTCCTGAGAGCAGACTCCGGCTTTGGCAAAACTCATCTCTTCAATCACGTCGTCTCTCATCTCGAAAAGAAATTTCGAGCTACGCGTGGAATTACTACGGCCTTTCTGGCGTATTATTACTACGGGGACGACGAAGACGACTCCCTGGAACGTTGTGTTGGCTCCATCATCTACCAATTTGCATCTGCAGATATTGGATATGCTAAAGCCGTAGTGGACGAATGCGCGCGGCACGCAAACATTGCGCGAGCTGAAGATCGATGGAACAAGCTCGTTTGGGGATTGCAGCATGCCATGAAAGGGACATACTTCATATGCATGGACGGCTTCGATAGTCCCAGCCAACTGGACAGTGCAGAAATAATGATGTCTACTATCGCAGGTCAAGCTGCGTCTTCAGCCAAGTCTAATGGAGTTTCCCTACGTCTCTTTGTATCTGGAAACGACGATGCGCTTGCTGAGGTCTCTCAAGGAATGAAAGATGTCGACAATATCTTTCTCGGGATACGCAGAGACTCTGCCAAATTCACGGGACGAGCTAGCAACAATTCAGATTTAGCTTCGGACTCGCTGCCAAACGCGAGCGATCTGAAAGCTGTCACAAGCGCCAGGATCGAGGAGGTTTGCAAGGTTAAACCCGGTCTGAAGACCATTCTTACTGACGCGAACATCGAGCTTTTGCTTAAAGGCATACACGGAAACTACAGCAACCTTGAGGCCAAGATAACGGAGATCAACGCCTGCGACACTAAAGGAAAGGTTCAAGAAGTGATCAACAACACAAGTGCCGACATGCATGCCGTCCAAAGAGATAGGGTCAAAACGCTGGACGCTGTTCTGAATTCACGTCAGGCTCAGGTGCTTAATGATCTTCTTGTGTGGGTTGCAGGGTGTAGCTACCCACCGACGATCAGGCTGCTCGAGAGCGTCCTCTTCTTTACCTCTGGCGAAGAGTTTCTGCTCACGGATCAGATTGCTACTACCTACTCGCCTGTGCTCATGATTGACGAGGGTAAGGTGGGATTCAAGGGCGGCGTCAGGGATATCCTGTCCGCGAGTGCTTCCTCAGGAGTTGGATCTGCAGTCCCTCAGTTACACTCTGAAGCAATCACCAGTGCCGAGGTCGAGCTTTGTCGCCGGTTCATAAGAAATGCTTGTGGTGCAATGGATTACGACAGATTTAGGTTCGATGATTTCTTCCAGGCCATGGCGCAAAAGGTAAACATTCACCTCGAGGACGACAACGTTGTGAATGTCACCATCATTCGCTTGTGTATCGATGTTCTGTTCGACAACAGGAAAGACGCAAATCTCGAAGCAATCCGCGACTATGCCTCATTGTGGTTTTACGCACATCTCAAGACCTTGGTCGAGGCGCTCGATGACTTTGAGCCAGAAAGAAAGTTCATGAGTGATATCGGAGGCAAACTGGTTGACTTGATCTATGACCCCAAGATGATCGATACGTGGTTCACCAGGAATAATCTGATCTGGTTCAAGTACGACTGGCTGTATTCAGAAGAGTTCCTCGATCCTATCGTGGCGTTACTGAAGAATTCACAAGTGGCCAAAGGCTATGCAAAGGATGCAAAGAAGAGTGACTGGACCAAGTCTGTGGTTTTCGACACCGCAAGCAAATACTCCGTCCTCGAGCGCATCGCTGCGCGACTGGCGACTCATTGGTTTAGCTGCTCAACTGGTACGATCGACAGAGATTATCTTTGGATCTCATGGGGCATTGTAGCCAAGGTGAGATCTTCCAGACAATGCTAGAAGGTTGTCTGACACCGATGAACAGATATCCAAGCCGGACAAACCGTTCGAAGAACGGAACCTGCCCCCGAACGCAGCCATCGAGGAGTATATCTGCTGGGTGAAGGAGCATAAGGATATCGACATCGACAGCTCCACCTGGGACTACCGCGTAGGGGCTACGTACATGGTCTTCGAGCATTACAAGGAGGCCATTGTTGCATTGGAAAGGGTGAAGCAACAGTCTCTGACAAGTTGGGGCCTCTTCTTCAATCTAGCAATTGCCCATGAGAATCAAAAGAACCATCGTACGGCACTTGGATACATACAGAACTTCAAATCGCTCAGCGAGATGTTCCTTGAGACGGACGATTCTTACAAGGGGGCCTACTGGGATATGCTCAAGAGCGAAGGCAACTGCTATCGGGAGTGTCATGAGTACGACATGGCCGTGCAATCTTACCAGGAAATTTTGAGCCAGAATTTCAGTGAAGCATCCGGTATGAGCTCGCTCCACTTAGACGCGCTTTTGGGACTCTTTAAAACCTGGACCGATGCGAAGAGCTCGCGTTTTATCATTGATCTCATTCGCAGCTGGAAAGATGCGACAGCCAAGGGTCGTGGATCGACCTACTGGCTGCGAAGAGCATCACGCGAAGATGCCCTTCATACATGCATCATTGTGGCTGCGAAGCAAGTTGGTGCCGCGGAAGAGATCATCTATCTGTACCAAGAGGCCATCGATCACAAGCCGTTGGATGAACCTGCTGTCGAGGGCGAGCCGGGGATGGACATCTCTGCCGAAGCAACCGCACAACTGCAGTACTTCCAAGCCGTCCTCATATCCTATGGAAGAGGGTCCAACAACGATCACCATCAGAGTATAAAATGCTGGGAAGACATCGTCCTACAATCTGATAACAACCCAGCGTCGTATATGACAGCATGGAATGCGACTCGCAAGCTAGCTTCGAGTCTTCTTGAGAAGGCATTTGCCGAAACCCTACCAGCTCTTTCCAGTTCTTCCGAGGATTACATCGGCCGATTAAAGAATCTTGCCAACTCGAACACCAGAATAATCTGTTACCTTCGTCAAGGATCTTGTGATCCTAGTATCTGTTTAGCCAGGCTGTACTATGTCAAAGAAGATCATACTTCCGCTTCCACTCAGGCACAAGCTCGTCTTTGCAGTGTCTTCGACAAGTGGCCTGAATCCACAGACGATGCCTCACTCAGGATGCGCTTCTCGAGCCTTGCCGCTACACTAACTGTCCTCGACAAGGATGCCGATGCTATCGCAGCGTGGCAAGCAATAGGGCCGTATCAACCGTCGAACGCTATGGTCGCGAAAGCAGATGCACCAGGTACTGAAGAGCTTACACAGTCAACCCCTGAAGGTCCTTACACAGATAGTGTGCCAGCAGAAAATGACAAGAAGTCGGAGGACATTCCAGCTGCAGCCTCTTCGTCTACGACTACGACTAAAGCGTATGTCTCAGGATACCTTTGCGATGGCTCTTGCGGGGTCGAATGGACAGACGTGATGGCCGACTGTTGGGCATGCAAGCACTGTCTCTGCGTCCAGCTTTGCCCAGGGTGTTACAAGAAGCTTCTGGATGACGACCTACAGCCTCTCATTTGTAACAAAGATCATAAGATGCTCTACATACCACCCTTTGACTGGGAAGCATGGCGCACTATCCCCGCAGATATGATGACTGTGGATAATAAGCCAGTGCATCGCAAAGATTGGGTGGACAAGATTCGCAAAGAGTACAACGTGCAACAGGATGAGATCGATTTCATCAAGATTGAGAAGGCCAGGGGACTAAAGGCTGCCAGCGTCATTGCCGTGCGGTGGCGCAACAGGTTGCAACGAGCCAAGACCTTCAGAGAGGTAGCTGGTGCGATAGTGACATCTTCTGTTATGAAACAGCACCACCCAGAATGAGAGTAGATTCGCAACTAATCGATACAATCGAAGATCAGTTCATGGCACTACTGAGATTACCACACTCATTGAACAGAGCACCGGTGCTCGTTTCTCTTCTTCTCCTTGAATCGCTCCAACTCCTCACGACCTCCTTGTGCCTCCCAACTCTCCACCCACTCTATAAAGGTTGGATGATCATATTTTCTCGCTTCAGCGAGTGCAGCATCCGGATCCGCGCCTCGGTCGAGTAGAAACCATGTCAGCTCGCGTGCATCTGTGTCTGGTCTGCCGACGCCAACGATGTATTCTAGTGGCGTCCCCATTTCTCCTTGCAACCACTTCGTGTCGCGCGGAAAATCCAGCTTGTTCACATCCAAGCCCACGGTATCAACTAGATGGCGCACCATCGCCATACGTTGGACATAACGCGCCCGGCTCCGCCGTTGCCATTCCTCGTCTTTTTCGGGGTCGTCCGTCCCCTCGTGACCCAACGCCGCCATGAGCACCGCCCTATGCAGTGTACAGGGTCCCAAGGGAGCCCTTTCGGATCGCAAGAACTCAAACATTGCGATGTCACCCGTCTCCGCGACCTTTTCGAGTATGGGCCTCTTGTACGGTGGTTCCCCGGGCGTAGCAAGTTTTGCGGCATGCTTTAAGCACCATACAAGCTTTTCGCGGTCATGGATACAGGACCACATGAAGGGACTCTGCCAAGATCGAGGTTCTCCTGCCCAGTTGATGTCCCAGCCATGAGCGAGCAGGAACTTGAGAGTGGGAATTTCAACCTCTTTGCCAGAAACGTCGATGTGCTTAATGCTAACGCCGTGTTTGATCAGATAGTGGAGAGCTGGTATCGAGTTCTTCTTTATCGCAATGCCTACGGCTCGTTCATCGTCGCGTCCCTTCGCATTGCCTTGGGCGTTGGTCCTGGCCTGCTCGAATAGCTCTAGTTCGTGCTTGTGCATCGCGATATCAAAAAGAGTCTTCACATCCTCTGCCTGATGCATCGTGGGCTTGCGTGTTAAGCAATGTTAGGCTCGTATACTCTTTATTACTGCTGGCGTCTCTGTAGCTGCTGACCTAGATTGATAAGGTGGCGGGTACAAAAAATGGGCAAAAAAGAACATGTGCTGGCAAAAACATACAACACAGACTACGAAGAGGTTATTTGAGCTAGAAGTTGCGGAGCAATGCAAGCGCTTGGGCAGATAAGCGAGGGCAGCCGCATCTACTTGATCAATCGCAGGTGTCGCCACTTCTCACATTCTCAAATGAGATATGCATGTATCGGTACCACGGGTGGCGAACCGCAAACGCACACGCGAGGCCGTGAAGGCCCTCTAGGCTTCCGAAAACGGAAGCTTCTAACTGATCAGAGATGTGAGGCTGAACCCAAGGCGGGGTAGAGAGCTAAGCTCCGACCTGGACACCACGTCCCGAGGTCAGACATCTCTGCCGCGGACAAAACCTTCTACGCCATGCTCCCTACATTGCGCCACTTCTGGTATTGCATATGTTGATAGATACCAGAGACGACGTACTCACCCTCGGCGCAAAGATAGAGGCTAAAACTCTGGCCTCTCATTACCCGTGATTGAAATCTTGCGGCCTCGTCAACGTTTGTACTCAACGGAGACCGCATAATCTCAGTCAAGGCCGTCACTCTATGACTTATGGTGGCTGAACCGCTAGTGTCTGAAGGCGTTCTTCTTCAAGCTGAAGGATCGTTCCCAATTGGTAAGTGATGGGCTCAGATCTAGAGTTGCATCAGGGGGATCCTTTCACGCGTGCGTTATGAAGATGGGAGGAAATCTTGGAGGTCTCTACTAGGCTCGCTTAGTGGAAACCTTCCTAGGGAAGGGGGCGCGCAATTGGCACTGGAGGCAAGACTATATGCAAGGCTAGTACGCCGGAGGCGTTCATCCCAAGCTCATTGAGGACATAGTCAGAAACACGTGGACAGGCGACCATTCAGTAGAAGACCAGAACACCTGGAGGCGTTCACATTCCAAGCTGAATCGGCATTCAAAATGTGAAGATGGTAGTCTGGATGAGGAAAAGGCGGTAGCTGAGATGAAGTAGGACAGCTCGTGGGTCCAGTCGCGCAGGTAGTTATAAGGCAGTCCTGTATTGCATCGACTAAGCAGCAAGACATTCTTCCTCGACGAAGTCACCACACGCTTTGTACCACAATCGTTCTGTCGAATAAGATTTCCCAAAATGAAGTCTACAACCATCTTTCTGGTGTTCGGTTCCATGATTGGCACGCAGGCGGCTCTTACGGGACGTGGTCTCAACAGTGTATGTTCTGAAGTCTCACACCTTGTCGCAGTAGGAGCACGGACTGATCGCCAAATCTTGTAACAGTGTCGACTGGAGTCAAAGATCATTACTCAGCTTAATAGCAACTATGCCCAAGCTGCGAGTACTTACTGCAGTTCCTTCATTGCGAAGTCGACCACAACCACTGTCTCAACAACCCCGATTGTCGTGACAACGTTGACACCCGTTTCTACATTCACCACAACGTCAACGAGTACAATAATCATAGGAACTGACACTACGATCACGAGGTCAGTATCACAGCTCTCGAGCCTTGCTTTTCCTCTCCCTTACTCACCCATTACAGCACGATTACCACCACCACAAGTACGGCAATAGCCTCAGGGACCACAACAGTGACAGCGTCCTGCACACCACCAGCATTCAACGCAAAACGCGATGAGATTATAAAGAGCGCCAATGGCAAGAAATTCAGGGTACCTGACGGAACGCCGGAAAAGCGAGCTACTCCTCTCAAGCCATCCTGCCCAGCACCACTCAAGTATCTAGCTACTCAGGCCGTCAGCTCCATCTGTTCCTGCATTGTCACACCCGCAACTAAAACCTCGACGGTGGTTCAAACCTTCCCGGCGGCCACATCAACGGCAACGGCACCTACCTCAACCTTGACTATCATGGCATCAGACGTGCTTGTGTACGGCCTTCTCCCTAGCTTTTTGATTGCTGGACGATTTTCCGCTAACACACCGCAGGACTTCAACAACTACAAATACTGTAGTCATTACCACAACCACTACCATAGTAGGACACCCACACCCCATGTCCCAGACTTTCTAACTCCCTGTTTTCAGACAAGCACCACGACCATTCCCATAGCAACAGCCACGGTTGCGCCAGCTGTTGCCGGTGGCGGCTCCTGTGGCTGCTCATACACCTCAAACTGCGGGACTCAGTACGTTGATACCGGCGACGGAGTCTACATCACGCAAGCCTCCTCATTGCAGGAATGCATACAACAATGCGATGAAAATTTCAGGTGCTTAGAATACTCTTTTCAATACAGCACTGGAGTTTGCACGCAGTTGCACGGCGATTACAACGCATTAGCGAACGCGGACTTTGCCTCCGGAGCCGTCGCGACTGATGGAAGGTGTAACGGAGTATGTACGGCAAGCAACTAGTGAGATAGCGTGTCGGATGAAAGCTGGGGACGAAATCCGTGATCCTATGGTCGTATGTGAAGAAATGGGCAATTGTAATTATGATATTCGTGGGTTGAACATCAGAGCGAGCTGCTGATATGTTAGCCACACACCGTTGCGACAACACCAAGGAAACACCAGAAATATACACGTCCAGTCACTTTGTGAACTCCATGCTGTAATGAGATCAATTCTTCAAGCTGTTGTGTCATCTTATCAAGCCATCCGTAGATGCGCTTTTACCGTAACTCCGTCGCTGAAGATGCAATGCAGGTATTCCTCTCCTTCTCATACGTCGCGTCCGACAAATTTTTCTGCTCCTATCCTTGGACGATCCCCCATTTAGTCCTTAGGAAGCATATCCTGCTCACTGCCGTCCCTGGGCACGTAGTTGATACCCGCGCTCTCCACCGCTCCGATCACATCTTCCGGGAGAATGCCCTCGACCTGGGTCGCGTAGACGCCCGGGACGTAACCTTCAAGACGCTGGTATCTGGCGACCCAGCTCCTTGAGGTATCCGCGACCGTGATGAGGCCTTCGAAGACTTGTGATGTGCAGTCGTTGATCTGCTCGGGGTTGCCAGCGAGCTCGATGATCTCTTCGCAGTTGGGGCAGCCCTGGGTGAGGAACTGGTTCTGGGTTCGGACAATGGAGCAGACCATGCAGGCACGCATGTTGCGCTGCTGACCTGGCGGTATGTGCGCACCGCCCTGGATCATGTTCTGTGCCATCTCGGATTTCTCGACGTTGGTACGAGGGTACGCGGGCGGCTGCTGACCTGGCTGATGGCGGCTTTTGAGTGTGACAACGGAGCGCTCGGTACGACCGGGGAGATTGGCGTCTAGAGCAGAGTTGTCGCGACCTCGACCTGCAGCGCGCGGACGTGTAGGAGGATTCTGAGGAGGAGGATGGGGCTGCTGTAGAAGCTGTTGATGGTGAAGCGGAGTCTGGTTGTCGAAAATGGATGTAGGCGACCCGAAATACTCGATGGGTGGACGGAGGTCGTCGTTGAAGCTGACAGGAAACAGAGCGTCCGCAAGTGTCCTACTTTGTTCCACGGTTCCGGAAGCTTGGCGAGGCTGTCGGCGCTCTGGCTCTGGCCCTGACTCGGGCGCCGCTTTAGAGAGGTTTAGTCGCTCACGCGAGGCTACGGGATCGACATTCTCCAACTCATGCGCAAAGTATGGCTCCTCGTTTGCCCTGCTACTTCCTCGGGGGCGTGTAGTAGCGCGAGGTGGGGTGACATCAGGCTCGACTTCGTCGCCATCAGAGTCGACGGTGATGTAGCGGTCTTTAGGTGTCTTGACCGTTGCCCTACCCTTGCGCGCCATGATGTCTAGTCGGAGCCGAGGTCTCTGGTTGGTTGGGCGTTGGTGGAGGCGTTTAGCGGCAAGGCCAGGCGATGGCGGGACAGACTCGTTTGATAACTTTCGGCGGGCAGTGCGGGCGACAGGTCACCTTCATTTTGTTGCCGTACGTCACTGGTTTGCTATTCAAATCTCTTAACGCGCAGGGACGCAACTTCCCTCCCG